ATTAGAGACATCAAGTGGTGTCGCCATTCGATAGCGCAAGCGTAAGTGCAAGTATAACGTAAATCACTCACTGCCTCGGAACGGTAGGTTAGAGCGATTAGGTGCAACAAAATCGTTAAGCTTCTCCTTCCTCACAATCCACTGATCCTCCATCCTAGCACAAATCTTGCCCCTTTTCCTTCTCCGTCTTGCTTCGTACAGCAGCGAACCTAAGTTTACTTAGCACTCGCCACAACCACTGTATCACCCATAACTTTCTCTTAGAGCAGTTTTCTTTTCTTTTTTTATACATTCGTCGCCGGTAAAATCGACGATAATTTCCATATTTTGTCCGATAAGAAGCCGTAAAAAAATCAACGATAAAGACACATTCGTACATATATATATTTACATGTTTGCGCGAGAAAACAGGAGGAATACTTATAGAAACTGTTTAATACGCTGGCTTATCACAGGTATTCGGGCTAGCGTAAAACGCTAACCGGCAAAATCATAAATGAAAAAGACCGTATGTATATATAGCGATGGTATTCTTTTTTTCTTTTTCTTTCTTTAGTTCGATGTCGCTACTCGAACAACGGATTTTCGTTCGACGAAGGGTGGGGGAACAAATCGGGATGGGGGTTTTGATTACATTTGTGTGTATTCTTAAAAATACTGTTCCTAAGCGAGAAACATCACGATGACACCTTGCGCGTTCTTCGTTTCTCGTTCAACGAGCAATATCGAAGTATCAATTGTAAATGTTGGTGTGGTGCCTCTTTTTGTGATTCTCTATGCACCACTTGTGAGGACTTTTGTAAGGGCACACCTCGCACGTGAACTTCGGCTTGGCGTTCACGCATTCAAATTTTCGGTGTCTCCAGAGCGATCTGTGAACCACGTACGCCTTGCCACAGTCCACGCAAACGAAACTCCTTTCACGAATATCCGAGTTTCCACCCTGACGGAGTTGTTGTTCCCGATCGTTCCTTCGAGCGACTCGATCGTTCATCCGCTCGAACGCGTAGATGGTCTTGTAAGGCCACAACGACGCTGAAACAACAACAGCAAAATTGGTTAGTTGCCACCGATCGATCAGAAAACGCCACGGAAATGATACGGAGACATCGGGCACACACATAACGCGATCAAGGAAATTTCTCTCTCTCTCTCTTTCTCGCTCTCCCTTTCTCTCTCTCTCTTTCTCTCGGCGATTTCCTCTGTCGAAGCAGCCTGCAAAAAAATCTCAAGAATAACTCGATTCAATCACGTCACATCTCTCTCTCTCTCTCTCTCTCTCTCCGCAGGGGAAGAACACCACGCGTGTTTGCGATACGTTGCTGAAACACACTGGTGTCGAATGGTTTATTTCATCCTCGAGCGATTTAGAAATAACCTGAGCATTTCAATTTATTTCGTTAAATGGTGTTATACAATGTCATCTACTGTAGATGAGCGTATACTGCGAATTGATCGTTATAAAATACATACAAATTAATTCGTACAAGGATCTATACTATGTATCGGTATAGTGAAACTTCCCTGATCCTCTGGATTTTTCGCGAGCAGCGAAAAAAATCTTTACAGACAAAGTTACGAAGGATTGTGATAATTCGACCGTTATCAGAATCGTCCTTCTCTCACGGATAATGTCTCTTCCAAGCGAGAAATGAAAAAAAAGAACCGTCTTCTCAAGCGTAATTAATACTGATTCCGCGCGGCTCTCCCTAAAAAGATAGTCCTCCTCTCTTCACGGTTACAAACGCTTAGAGATAATTCTACGGTACGCCGCGTATAATCTCCTGATGTGTACTATTTTACTGCGATATCTTTCGTATCGATCTCCTCCTACATATATATCGGTAGTCGCCTAAGGGGTGTGACTACTGTTTCGTTTCGCCGGTGTCAGCGGCGCGATGAAACGTCTTCATGTGTCTTCTCACGCAGAACGAGTAATTGCTACGAAAGTTGCACAGATCGCAGCGAAACTTCAATACGCCTGTATCGTGAACGTTTCGTACGTGCCTCTCCATGTTCGCCTTGTAGGTGCTCTTGTAAGGGCAGATGGAGCAGGCGAACTGCGAGTTCCTCGGGTTCATCTTGCAGCCGAACTGCACGTGCCTCCTGAGCAGGTTCTTCAGAGGGAAGACCTTTTTGCAGAAGCCGCACATGTGCCGTTTATGACAGTTCGACATCGGCTGAACCGACGACGACGACGTCGATATCTTAAACTTATCGAATTCCGGATGAAGCTGTTGTTGAAGACTGTCGACAGCGGCCGGGCTGTAGCCGTCCACGTAACCTGCTACGTTCCACACGCCTGAAACAAAGGGAAAGAAACGAGATGAAGCAGTGCTCGCGAAAGATATCGACGACGGTTCTTCTCTTCGTACCCGTGTGTGTTGCGTTACTCGTGAGCGAGTGTCGGAAAATCGGATACCCTTTTGCGATTCGCGCGATCGTACAAAAGCATACAACCGAACGGAGAAATTATACATTCGCAGGAGAAGGTTGCGAAAATGAACGAGGTGGTGCACGAACCGTTCGAACGTTCAAGCTTACAACGAAGCGGCACAAGAAACGTCAAGACACTATCTTGTAACATGTTTATATTTATTGAATAATTTAAAAAGAGGACAAAGAAAGAGAAAGAGAGAGGGGGGGGAGGAGAGACAGAGAGAAGAGGAAGGCGGAGATCCCATCGATTTACCACTATTCAACAAAGTCTTACTCGAGCATCGCGATCTCTCTAGATCACACTTGGACCTGTTTCAACGACATTATCAACGTTCAACGTCTGTGTTCGCGGTAGGAAGATCCTTCGGTGCGAGACCCTGCGACAGATCGGACGGATCGAGATTTACGCTAAGCCGGGAGCCGTGAATGCACGTGTCTCATGTGCCTGAAGAGTATGTCCTTCCGGCTGGTCCTGTAGGCGCACAACTTGCAGCAGAACATCGGCGGTAGTCCGCAACCGGTGCTCAAGTGGCGTTGCAGACTTGCCTTCCAGGTGTAACCTTTGCCACACTTCGGACAGACAAAGACAGGCTTGCCGGATTGGTCCGGCGCCAGCGAGTCGTCCAACTGTTGGCCCGACAAGCAGCCTCCTAAAAATCAAAAGCGTTCAACGTTAGATAGAAAATGTGTTTGCACCTTTTCCTTTACGTTCTCCGAGCCATTTCTCTGAACGTCGAGACGTTTTCGAAATGCGCGCACGTCTGAAAGAGAGAGAAAAAAGAGAAATGAAAAGAGAGAGAAATAGACAGCACACGATCGCGTGGAAGCGAGTCGAACAGGAAAAAGAGAGAAAGGAATATGACGGTGAACGACGAACAAGGATGATCAAACAACCATTTGTCACGTTACATGTTTAGGCTAGAGGAGAAACGTTCTGGGATTAGAAAATTTCGGATTTTAGCGTGAACGATACATTTATTGCGTCAACCAAACACCTACAACTCTCTCTCTCTCTCGCTGATAGAGCACGCGAAGTGAAGAAAATTTTGGTCCGCGTAGGGCGCACACGTGCACGCGTATCGTCGTTTCGATTCATAGGGAATACCTGTAAATCTTCTCTCGCGACCGAACGAAAGATCACGATCGACAATGAGAAATACGATTAATAGATCTCCTGGATGGACGCGAAAGCTGTATGCTCGCGCACCACGTGATATTTCAGCACATTTGGCAGAAAAAATTCATGTGCTTCCGTAAACTCCTCCAGTCGCTGTACCTCTTTGCACACTTCAAACAGAGAAGCTCGTCCTTGCAACGCCTCCAAATATCGCGCGGCAGCTGATCGCAAAAAAGTCGACCCTTGACTGAAACAGCATTGAAAAGTTGCATCGGTGAGTGGTGATCTTTCGTGAAGGGTAGACAAAAGGTTGGTGTAACATCGATCGGTTGACGATACGTAGAAGGGGCGATAGAGAGGCATTATTTTTCATTTCTTTTTTTTTAAATATGGCAGGTTGCTGCGACTTGAACAAGGATTAGGATGTTTTTTTTCTTTCTTTCTTTTCTTTTTAGGGGGGAAAACGTTTTCTTCTTCGTTCTCATCCGCTTCGCGAGTAACATTTTCTCTCTCTCTCTCTCTTCGCGAGAGATCGTTTCACTCTGTCGTGTAACAGTTGTCAAAGAAAGACATCACACGAGATACGTAAACCGTGTGTATTTATTGTTTTTTCTTCTTTTTTTTTTTACGTAACAGTTTACACAACAACAAATGCTTCCTCTTAGATCGTATTTTCGTCGGTATCGCGAGTCGAGGTGAGAAACAAAAAAAAAAGAGAAAAAGGGACAGATCGCTGCGGAACTCGAGTTTTCTGGTAAAGCGCGACTGACAACGAGTAGAATAGAGAACCGATCGTCCGTGACCTCTCTCTCTCTCTCTCTCTCTCTCTCTCGGCTACGCCGGGTCATTTCGTTCGACGATGCCCCGATAACGGTGCTCGTTAATAATACCTAAAACGCTGCTGCTTTCTCTCTCCTTTCTCGGGCGTGCCGCTGCTAGCTAGCTACTACTACATATTTCCCACCGTTATCGGGGCGGCGAGAGACACATAGTTAGAGAGGTAAAAATAAAACGAGAAACAAATCATTTTTTTCACAGCCCAATCAACTACCAGACACGAGTTCGCGACACAACCAAAGAAAGAACAGTTTTCCAAACACGAGCGGAAATTCGCCGTTCTTTTATAATTCTTTTCACTTTTAGTTATACTACACGTCGTTGTAAAAGTCCTTAAGTGCACCATAGTTGGTAAATAGTTGTATCCTATGTTCAATTAGTAACGCAGTCTTAAAGGATTAATTTAATGACAATAATGTGTAATGATATAAGAATAAGTAAGAATGATGGGGTCGACGATGACCGGATAACGATGCCTGTTGACGATGAACGATGGACCGATGATGGCAATAGTGATCGACGATAATAACTATAATAAATGGTGTTGATAATGAGATAATTATAACAATGATGATAATAATAATAGCGATAATAATCGGTAGTAGTAATAGAAAGAAAGAATTAAAATAGTTCAACACGTTCAGCACCATGAAAGTGTATCGAGTTCGAGAATACACTTTGAGAAGGAGAAAGAAAGAAAAAAAAAAAAAAGACTAAAACACGCGACAGTTTGTTCGCACTTCGGATCAACGTTCGTTGATTATTCTACAAAAAGCTGTTTTAAAGCGAGCTCCTCTAATGCGACACACCGATATAACAGTAACAAATCCGGTGACAAGAAAAAACCGTATCAAAGTTTCAATTACGCTTATTCCCGAACGTAAGGACAAATCGTAACTTCAAAAAGCATCTTTCTTTCATTTCCAAATCACAACGAAGCGTATTTATCTCCTTGTACTCGAACACATCCTTGATGTACGTACAGATCTCTAACTATAAGACACTTGTCAAGAAAAGAGCACATAATTGTCCACGAATATACACCCTTCCGAACTTTTCTTCTTCTTCTTCTTCTTTTTCTTTCCTCTCTTTTTCGTACGCCCGTCGTTAAATCGCTTTTTCCCGTGCTTCAGTGCCGTTTATATATCTTATCTTATAAATATCAAGTGTCTGTGACACACAAACACACATATACACTATATGTGCGCGCGCGCGTGTATATATATATATACATATTTATATA